TTATGTAAAATATTTTTTTTTCCTGCAACAAACATTTTTATTTCTTCTTGCCATCCTTTTCCACTTGCACCCCACATTCTTTATATAGTCATTGCTCTCATTTTTACTACCTTCTATTTTACTTATTGCTCCTCCCCGACAGAGTTTATGCTCTGGTTTTTGAAAATATTTTACGTGACGAAATCATCCCTGGTGTAGGTGTCCAGCATTTGCTCTTATTGCAAGAACGTAAGACTTCACCTTCCCCTAAGCCCAGCACTGGCTTAAACCAAAGCCAATGCCATGGGTGTGTGTGTGTGTGTGTGTGTGTGTCCTGCTCCCACAAAGTCATCTTTCAAAGACTGTATTCTCTATAATGATCCATAACAACACCCTTTTAAAAATGACAGCTGCCATTCAGCAGCCCCAGCCTCCTGGAGGTGGAGTCAGGAGGTGTGAGCTTGTCCCATTCCCTGGTGTCTGTCTGGCAGCACTTGTGAGGTCTCATCTCTGGATGCACCTAACCCATTTAATTTGGCAAAGAAAAGTTCTGAAGCATGGGGTTTTTGTGGTCTGACTGGACTTGGTGGTGACAGCTAGTGCCCTCCACTATGTCAAGATTATTTCTGAAAATCCCTGAATGGCATTAGGAAACCTTCTAGAAAAGTTCCATCCCCCTTTCCCCTCTCCCTTCCTCTCAGATCAAATAGCCAGGGCCACTAGGACAGGTCAGCATCTGGAGGTCTAAAAGAGCTTCCTGTGGAGAGGGGCAAATGCAGACAGAAGGGGTGTGCGTCCCGCCCCCAAGTCCTTTAGGGCACCCCTAGGTGCCTGTCAGAGCAATTCTGTCAGCTGCCGGGGATGCTCACTGCCAGGAGGGGAAGGCCCTCTGCTGTCCCTGCCAGAACTAGTTTTCAGGAACTGCTGCCTCTTCGTGGAAACTGCAAAGTCATACGCAGAGGCTTTCTCCCACTCTGTGCGATGATGTTAGAATTGCAAGTGCAGTGCATACTGGTAAAAATCCAGGCCAGGTAGAATACTAGGAAAGGCAAACAAGGGCGGGAGCCCAGGTCATGGTCCAGGGCGTGGGATCAATTCAATGTGCTTTGTGTCCCGGGGTGGAGCTGACCCTGCAGGTTCTGGGGGTGCTGCCCCCACACTGGCCCTGTTGCTTGGAACACAGGGTCAGCACCATTGCTGACATTTGTCTCCCTGTGCTGCTCTTTTTTTTTTTTTTTTTTTAAAGATTTATTTATTTGTGCATACAGAACTGGGGTATAGGCCAGAGGCTCAGGGGCGGCGAGAGGCTTCACCAGAGACAGAGTGGGGAGCAGAACAGGCAGATCGATGAAGTACACTGCTGAGGGGAGCAGCAGGCGGGTCAGGAGAGGTCTGCCGCGCCATGTGGTCACCTCTAGGGCAGGCGGGAATCGAACTCATGTGGAAGTGGCTTTGGCTTCTCAGTGCTGTGCTTTAACCCGCTGCGCCACCAGGGAGGGCCTGTGCTGCTCTTTTTTTTTTTTTTTTTAAAGATTTATTTATTTGTGCATACAGAACTGGGGTACAGGCCAGAGATGTGGAGGGTGAGAGGATTCACCAGAGACAGAGAGGGGAGCAGAACAGGCAGATCGATGAACTACACTGCTGAGGGGAGCAGCGGGCGGGTCAGGAGAGGTCTGCCACGCCATGTGGTCACCTCCGGGGTAAGCGGGGATCGAACTCATGCGGAAGTAGCTTTAGTTTCTCAGTGCTGTGCTTTAACCCGCTGCGCCACCAGGGAGGGCCTGTGCTGCTCTTTTAACCCCACTCCCCATGTGTGTCCCACCCTCAACTTTGGCCTTCTTTGTCCTCTTCCTCCAGGAAGTTGACCCTCACTGATGACATCCTGAGGGCTCCATTCCCCTCTGGCTTCTGGTCCTGGCAGACCATTGTTTCTGGTCTAGAAGAAGAGGTGGAGCCAGGAGGAGAGTATTTACTCCCCCTGAGTCTTCAGACAGTGGCTGGATCCCTCCTGCTGGACTCCGGCTCTCCAGTCCTTTGGCCCAGGTGACACATGTGGCTTCCCACGGCGACTCCCTTTGCCCTGCCCCACCTGTAAGTGGCCCTAGCCTGGAAGCCTGTGCTGGAAGTGGTTGGAACATCTATCCTATGGAATGAACTAAGACCCCATGTCCTCTCCTAGTCTGGAAAGGGGGTGAAAGGGGCGAGCTTGGCTTCTCCAGCTGTAGCCTCAGCACTTAGTGCCATGGACAGAGTTGACCATGGTGTTGGGCTATTGTACCGGGAGGTGAGAGAGGGCACCACTGTGTGGATGACCACGTCTCTGTGCCGGGGTGCAAGGTCCAGTCACGTTGATTGCGCTGTGTGTCCATGCAGCCAGCATGACCCCGCTTAAGTTCTGAATCACACCCTCCTGTTGACAAGGCTGCTGGTGAAGGAGGGCCGCTGGTCTAGCCCGGTGACCAGAGGATTTCATTGTGGTGCTACGTTATATTGCAATAGAATCTTTGCCTTTGGGGGTCCATCTTTTGTGAATGTGTAGATGACGAGTTTACCTGCAGTGCCATACTTTGGTGGTGAGAGTACAAGTTGGCATTTTGCCAAACTCATTTACCTGGGTAACCACCCCTCCCATCAAGCTAAAAGAGTGTTTCTGTCTTTCCAGAAAGTTCCTATGCCTCTCTCCATTTAATCTCTGACCCATACTCTCCAAGCCTCGCCACCAAAGCCACTGGCTGTCCCTGGCCACTTCTGTCTGCTCAGTTTACTGAGAATTTCTTGTCATCACCCTCAAGCCATCCTGATCTTGGCCTCTGAGCCTCATCTTGCTCTGTGACATACCTGCATTTTCTCCTTTGTACCTGGTAACTCCTCTCAGCTTCCTTTAAGATTCCTCCTCCAGGAAGTCTCCCTGGTGTCTTCCACTCAGTTTCAAAAGGAGCCCCTCTGTTAGGTCCTGCATTGTGTTGACTGGATCTCCATCCTATGTAGCTTCTTTATATTTTTGGTCAAGTGCCCTTCTCCTGCATCAACCTGGGGGTCCCTTGAGAACCTGGGGGATTCCAGGTCATATTCCACTCTGAACTGACTTCAGCTCACCAGTTGTCTTAACGAACAGGTGAGTTAAATCAATTCTTCAGGACACTATCACTGAACTTTGAACACATTAAAGTTTAGGCCCTTCTGATTGTAAAACGTGACATCAGGATTGTAACCAATGTCCAATTTCTACCCTTCACCCCATTACAGATTCCTTTGACCCAATGTACAGTCACTTCTCTGCTCTTCTGATAATCCGTTTTGTTCTTAGAGTGGAAGAGTTAGTTTCTGTTTGGTTCATTTACTTTGTTTCTTTCTCTTCCTGGAAAGAATGAGATCATATGGCTCCCACCTTAAATCATCCCATCCCCACCTTTCTGTATGCGGGCGGGTCTGTAAAGCAGGGTGCAGGGCCCAGGGGACTCCCAGGACCTGTGTACTCTCTTGCAGCTTCTCTTTTCCAATCGGCTGCTTCTGCTCAGCATCTGCTTCTGCTTCTCCGCAACTTCCCCTTGCTTTTGGCCTTTCTTCCCCTGACTCTGGGCCCCACCTGTTGGGCTCACACTGATGTTGTGGGCGCGACAGACCCGCATTGGCTGGTCAGCTTTCACATTCCTGCGTGGCCACACCAAGACCCTGGCAGCTCCTGAGTCACAGGCCCAGCACCCCTGTGCATCGAGCTGAAGGTGGGGCCATGTGGGCGCTTCGAGAGCAGGGCCTGAGAGAGGAAGAGCTGGGAGGAGAGAGGACACTCCGGGACCACGCCTGTCCTCTTACTAACCAGCAGGCTTTGCACTTCAACCCCTCTTTTCTCCTGGATACATTTTCTCGGCTTCAGTCTTGGGAAAGCCACCTAGCTCCTCAGTGCTTAGGGTTTAGCGAATTCAGGAATGTTGCGGCTTGAAGGAACCCCACAGCTCATCTGCTCCAGACTATGCCAGGAGTGTTCTGTGCAACAGCAGGCCCACCCAAGAGCTCTCCACGGAATGGAGCCTACTCCAGCACTTCCCTTGGGCCTCAGCGCTCACTGGGAGATACTTCTCTGTGGCCTCCTTTGCTTCGCTTCTCTGTGTGGTTCCTGCACAAATGGGCTGCCACAGGCCACAGACTCCTGGGGACTTTGAATTAGGAGCCTGGAGAAAGGCTTGAGGGGGGACCCGCCCTGACCCCCTTGAAATTGTTTGCAAACACAAAGGGGCGTGTTTCCTGAATACTTACAGGTACATGTCACGGAAAATATGGGTCAGAACTGCTGCTTGAAAGAGACATTAGCTGTGCTTGCTGAGGCCAACTCCTCCTTGTTCTTTTCAAATTTAAATACATTCTCTGTTACAATTAATATCCATCCAATCTGTACAGGAAATCACTTGGCAGCTTCATCCTGTCATATTCTAGAGATGAGAATATAAAGGACCAGAGAAATGTAACGCAAACTTGCCTGGAGCTGGGGCAGGAGACCACTGTCATCTTCACTTTCTTTAAACCAACATTGTACCAACCGCCTCTTCCCCCTCCCTCCAAACACTTCTAAACATTTGCTGAGAGCCAAGACCTGTGTTCCATATTTCCCCCACGAAATGATTGAGCAATTCATGTGTTGGATATTTTTATCCCCCTTTTAATTGTTACTTTTCAGATAAGGAAATCGAAGCTTAGAGATTGTAAGAAACCTGGCCAGGTGACCTCGCTGGCTAGTGGCAGAGCTGGAACCGGAAAGCCCGCGTTTTTCCACCGCGCTCATCAGGGAGGCTGCCGGGTCCCACATCAACGCCGCGCGGCTGTACAAGCCCTGGACTCGCGGGTGTTCACCTGAGGCTCCTTGGGGTCCCCGCAGCGCCGGACGCCGCCCCCTGGCGGCAGGTGGGCGCAGGCGCAGCATATGCTAATGAGCCCGCGGTGCGACTCGCTGATTGGCCGGCGCGGATTCCAGCTGCTTTCCCAGGGGTGTGCCCATCGGGAGTAAAAGGGGCGCTGCTCCCTGCGGCGCCCCATCCAGCGCTCTCCCTTTGGAAGCCAGGGCTGGCTAGCTCTGTGTCTCGGGGGGCTGTCCCTTTTCTCTCTCGTTTGTGCTCTGGTTCTGAATTGATCCAGGGTCCACGATGACAATCCGACACCAAGGCCAGCAGTACAGGCCGAGGATGGCATTTCTGCAGAAGGTGAGCCTGGTCCTGTCGCCTGCCCTAGGGGGCGAGGGGGCCAACTCTGGGAAGTGTCGCGGCCGTTGGGGATGCTGGAGTGTGGGCAGGAGTGGAGGGCATCCCCTGCGCTCTGTTGGTGCTGCCTGCTGTTGTAAACGACTTAGGGGCGGTGGTGTGTGTGTATCTTTTAAAGACTCCACTGGTTGGATTTCCTGGGAACCTGTTTGGGTCGGGAGTCTGAAGCCACGGGCTGCTGGAGGCTGAAAACAACCTGTTACTCGGAGAGGAAGGGATCGGAAGATAACGCAGCTGGCGGTGTTGTAAATTGAGACGTCCCCTGATAGTCCTATAAGATACCCAGATGTTAAATAAACATTTTGGTTATTTTGTGAATCCCCAGATGCAGTGTGTGAGTGAGTGTGTACACACAGATCACAAAAATGCTGTCATTTGTAGGATAAAGAGACACCCCACTTGCAGCACTCTGGGTCCCTCATTTGATGTGGTTATCTGTGCATCTCTGGTCTCTGTACTGGGGGCAGACGTCGGAAGATTTTTCTTCTTTTGCAAGGCTTTGTAGGCCAGTGTCCATCGGTGGACATTGGGGGGACAAGTGCATCTCTGTGGTTCTGTGTTTAGGGCCCAAGGGGCTCATCTTGTTCTGTCTTTTGAGGTAACCAGTGCGAAAGAGATGGACGGGCATTAGAGACTGGGTCCCTTGTCATTTTCGTCCCATCCACAGCGCTTCTCAGAGGCAGAAGCCACCTTCTTAGACTTATCTCTTGAGTGGAATTAGCCGAATGCCATGTGACAAGCAGAGCATACCTGAGCCCCTGGGGCCCAGCGCCAGCTGTCTTGATGGGCCTAGGGCTTTCCTATTGAAAACCTGGACAGTTAGTCCCTCTGTCCATCCGCTGCCTGGGGACCACTGTCCAGGTGGCGGAGGCATAAACTGGGGTGGGGGGAGGGGGTGTGTGGAGGAAAGTTGTCCTCCCCAGAACTGGTGGTGTAGACGCCAGTGTCTACCAGCAGAAGATGCCCGAGTCTGTGGTCATCTTCCAGGGACCAGCCCAGGACGGCTGCTTCCCCTGGACAAGACACTGGCTGGGGCCTCAGGGCAACTGTCTGAGACCTGCTGTTTTCTGAATCTCAGACATCTTTTTCATCATGACTGTTGTTTGGCAGATTTTCCTTTTTATCTTGGCCTTTTGACTGGTGTCTGTCTCTAGTTTTTCACCCTTCTCTCAGCGTCCCCTCCTGCACACCCCCAGCCTTCCCTCCTCCTAGTTCTTCACCCTGAGCACCCCCAGCCCTCTCT